CTCTCTCTCTCTCTCTCTCTCTCTCTCTCCCTCTCTCTTTTTCCAATTGACACACATTAGAAAAGGCATGAAAAAGACCGAGTACATCTGCCTTCAAACCTACCATTCTGTCCTTTCAGAGACCTCCAGCCTGGCGAGCAGCGGACAGTCACGGTCAAGGTGAAGTCCACCGAGAGACCCCGGAAGTCACAGGAGCGCGAGTTGGAGGCAGGACTTGTCTCCAAAGAACTTCCGGACTTCGAGGGTTGTCTGCCCGTAGAGCTCGATTAAGCCTTTGCGGCGCCATAACTAACTTTCATGTGATACGTATTCATACTAGTTATCCTTTTTTATCTGTCATTCCATGTAATGATTTTTTATCATCTGCATTCAGTTAAACTGTTACCCTAACAATTATTTTGTAGCATCAGCCCGTCATGGGCTTTATTGGACGCAATGCCTCAGAACAACATAATTAATAACGAAAATGTGGAACTTAACCCATTCTTTTTTAAGAGTTCAAGAACAAAATAATACATGTATTATCTCAAAAGAAATTTTATATTCCCCTAAGAAAAGTGATCCTCTATTTTTGTAATCATTTGTGCGATTATCGATTATCAGTTTTGTTTCTATTACTGGCAGTTTTAATTACTTAACTTGTGTTTAGAAGCAGATACGAAACTAAGGTGTCTGTCTACTATCCTTGTTCTTCTGTTACAGGAGTCTTGACTATTGTGCCAACATGTTATGGTGATATCTAGTTGTTTATCAAGATGTTATTATATTAAAATGCTCTCTCAAAGAGTAATGTGTAGTCAAGTCAGCGATAAAGAAAATATCCCCGTTCTTGTAAAATCTAGTTCTTTTTTGCTCTTTTTGTAAGTTGTACCGTGTTTTTATTTTTAACTCCGCTTGTGCCATATACGTCATCCATACAGGAATTGACCATAGTGCCTTTTGGTTTAGTTTAGACTATTTTCCAATTACATTCTTTGAATATAGATAGAAACTGCATAAATTTACAAGTCTCGCCAGGTGATAGTGTTATCTTGTTACAGTTTCTGCCTTTCAAGATTTCAGACAGAACGTCAAAATAATTTCTACTACTTGAGGATTCTTGGAATCTTTTTTAAAATCCAAACAAGGAGACAGTGCGCGGGGTTGAGAAACAGGACGACGTATTATTTGGACTTATGATGGCCACTGTCAGTAGACTTTTTCCCTCCTTGTGGCCAGTATGTACTTCTAGCTGTGACCTTTTCTCCTTGTACAATTTATGTTATGAGAATTTTCTGTAAAGTCAGTTTTAATTATCCATAGAAAAATAATGATATTTCATACGACTGAGGAATTTCAGAAAAAAATGACTTCAGAAATAATTATATAATGTATGTGATAACACTGGAAAGTAAGCCTTTTTTAAGTTGTAGTTCATATGCGTAATCTTTCTACAAAGTTCTCACCATGAAGCGCTGAATCTAACTGTGATATTAATATTTTAAAAGCTCTTCTCGTGGCTGTGAACTGTCAAAATATTGCAAAATTACACTTTATATAAGTCACATTGTTGTACTGTTTTTACAGTGTTAGTAAAACACACTTCTTTTGAATTATACATTGTTTTTGTTTTATTTTGGTGTCAACTTAAAGTTAACAATAGAAGGTTTTTTTTATTGGAACACCTCACCACTGACCACTCTGCTCACTCCCCCATCCTACTTCTGTCAGTGGTCACTGCTTATTAGAACTGTATAAAAATATGGTGGATGTATCTGATTTTTGTATATAGATGTACCGATGAGAAAACTTGAGACCTGGGTGCTCTACCAGCCTAAGTAGAATCTCTAATTCTGCACGTTTTCATTATCCAACATCTTGAACAAACGGGATTCGTTCCTGCCTACGCGTTAACCAAATGTGGTTTCTAAAAACTAAATTGGTGTACCGGATAGGCGCACTGCTGTCGCACTCAGGAAACCCGATTTCGATTCCCTAGTGAGGAGAAAATTTTTATAGAGTATCTCGGTCATTCTGCTTGGATGTTGTATCCCTCTCATTACGGGTTAACCCTGAAAAAAGAGTCGGAAGTCCACTTCCTCATTGATCGAAAATGTGTCACGGGGGGGGG